GGTGCATTTTGCTCCAACCATTCATACTCGTATATTAATCTGTTAATTTTTTTTTTCGTTATTATCATATTAAAAGTTTTACTTTTTTTTTAAACACATTATAATATTAAAAATGTCGTGTTCCCTAAGTTTATATTTGGCACGTTTCTTTTACTTAGCGATATAACTACCTGTCCCGATTTATATTTTTCCATTTAGAGAAAATGAACACTTTAGTATCTAATACTTTCTTAGATTTACTAATTAAATTTATAAAAATGTTTAAAGTTAAAATATTGTAAGGTAATTTTTGCAATTTTCATTTAGTTATTTGTGGGTAGGCTGGCTGTCTGTAACAACTATACCTTCGAGACATGTAACACCTCAGTCTCTCCCGTGACCATGATTGCTGTAAAGCATTCGAATCGTCGGGAACCAAAAATCAAAATAAATCCGCGAAATAATCCGAAAAGATAGTTTTATTTAAAACTTTAGTATCTATTATAGTATTGGGAAATATGTTTGAATTTTTAACAACTCATTTTTCTAATTGAATTTTAGTTTCTTTTTGTGTTGGGGAGGTTTTTTAATAAATTTTCATTAATAGCAAAAATACCTCGTAACTTGGTTAGTTACATCAATGGAGTGCAACCCCTATTTTTAATTTTTACTAATTTGGCTAAAGAATTGCTCAGATTATAGTGGTTTTTGTCAGCCACGAAGTTTTTAGCAATAGATATAGGTTCAATAGACTTGAAAGTGATTTGATGACGAAATTATAAAGGTTTCGTTTTTGCATTTTAGTTACAGAACCTTAATTTGACCTGTTGTTTTAATACTAAAAAATGTAATTATTAACAACTAGCATTGCCCGCGGCTCTGCCCGCGTTCAGATGACCAAAAACAAAATTCTTAGATTTTACATATTAGTTTACATTGCAGTTTTTGTATTTTTCTCAGAAATGAGATATTTTTCCGCAGTAAAAAGTATCCCATGTGTTGACCCGAATAACCATCTATCACCATACCAAATTTTATCAAAATCCCTCCAGTGGTTTTTCCGTGATGCGGTCACAGAAAACAGACAGACAAAAATTCTAAAAACTATAGATTCGGCCTCTGTATCGATAATAATGTTTATTCCAATAAGATTTTCCAAAAAATATTTAATGCGCATCTTCGGCTTAGTTACAATTTTATTATATGTATGTACCTACCTATAGAAGACAAGCGATTCACGCTCGCGATGATTTCTTAAATTGACATAGGTACCTTTTTCATTTATGAACCAATTTAAAATAAAACACAAAACATTAGTGAAAATAGCACCCAAGTCGGTTAAGCTGTTTCCGAGATTAGCGCGCACAAACGCACAGAGAAACAGACAAACTTTTAAAAATCATTGTTTTGGGTTCTATTGCGTTAATAAAAACCCCCAATAATAGTTTTTTTCTCAAATAGGTATCTTCCACAGTACAGACAGCGATCAGTTATAATTTTATTATATGTATGGAACTATCTTCAAAGCTACTGAGCCTATAATTTCGTAAATGCAGTAAGTAGAACTCAGAGATTGCGGGATTCTCCTTGAGTCGAGTTTGGTTGACACTTGAAGAAATTTTATTTTAAACTTTATCTAAAATTGTAATTTTAAATAAAACTATCTTTTCGGAATATTACGTGGATTTATTTAGATTTTTGGTTCCCGACGTTTCGAATACAGCAATCATTGATACGGGAGAAACTAAAGTTTTAGACGTGTCAAAGGCCAAAGCAAAAATCCAAATAAATCCGCGAAACAATCCGAAAAGATAGTTTTATTTAAAATGTCAAATATTCGCGTAAATCTAAGAAAGTATTATTGTAATCTTAGTACTTTAGCCAATTTTATCAGTAAAACAAGTTAAATTGTACATAGCATATACTAACTAAACTTTTTTCACCTTTTGACTTTTTGCCCTTTCCAATGACAGCTGTCACCTTGTTATACCATTTCGCGCCGGAATTATTGTTGGAGTGGTACGTTTAGAAATGACAATTTCACGCTACAGATGCGTTGTAGTGGCGTGTAAATTTTATCTTTGCGTTACTAATTCCTCTAATATGTGATTTAGAGATATAATTGCCATGAAATAGCTTATTGTGTTTTTAGATTTGAATGAAAAAGGTGGGTTTTTCTTAAGTAGTTCTAAGTGTCAAATGCCAGTTGATTATTGACAGTTTTTTTTAATTTATATAATATGGTGCGAATGTGAAGTATTTCTATCTGCTTTGTTTCCTTTATACCGCCAAAATTAATATTTCTAGTCTAAAGCAAAATAATGGCTAATAAAGAAAAAAATATTCCTTTTAAAAAATACTTAGAAAAATTATAAGTTTTCGATAGATTTATATCAGCAGTTGAGATTACTAGTTTTTCAAAATCACCAGAAGTTTCTACAGGATACAAACCCATAAGTATTAGGTACAAGTAGGTAGGAAGCACTCATATGTGCGCGATAATCTTGAGAATTATTACGTAGTACCTACTTATTGTTGATCGAAGTATTACACAAAAAATGCGGCTTTTGCGTTTTACATTTCTCCAAAATACTATAAAATGTAATGTAACGATTCTTATTAAATACGAATAATGTGAATTGTTTCAAAGATATTAGATTAATGCTAAAATTTTTTGAGTGCAGGCTGCAGCTACACTATCCATTTAATTCCAAGATTTTTGGCAGTTTTATCTGATCAAAATAAGTAAAATCATTCGCCATGCTTTAACATTATCGGCGCATCGCTTCTGCTACATTCGGGTCCCTAGATTTTTAAAAATAAAATAAAAACCGACTTCAATAAAACACTAAAAATTAAAAAAATATTGTATCACTGAAATCACTTACTATAGATACCTAAATAGATATTTTTGAAGTCAGTATGCTTTGATTTGTATCAGCTGGCACCGACTTCAAAAATTATTTGATTAGGTATCTATACCTAGTAGGTAAATGAAAACAATGAATCAGTTATTTTTTTACTTTTTGGTCTTTTTTTAGGGTTCTGTATTCAAAGGGTAAAACGGGACCCTATTACTAAGACTCTGTTGTCCGTCCGTCTGTCTGTCTGTCCGTCTGTCACCAGGCTGTATCTCATGAAACGTAATAGTTAGACAGTTGACATTTTCACAGATGATGTATTTCTGTTGCCGCTATAACATCAAATACTAAAAAACAGAATAAAATAAATATTTAAGCGGGCTCCCATACAAAAAACGTGATTTTTGTGTTTTTATAGATAGTGGTACGGAACTCTTCGTGCGCGAGTCCGACTCGCACTTGGCCGGTTTTGTTTGAAGTCGGTTTTTATTGCTTTTTTAAAAAAGTTTTTATTTTTCCCTTTTTAGTATAGGTTGACACTGTACTAACAAAGTAAGAAGACAGTATTTTAATAGAACATTCGCTTAAGCCGTTTAAGTTAGTTTAATGGTAATTTTTATATAAAGACTGACAAACTAAAATTCGCTTTCATTAATAATACTAAAAAATCTGGCTCTAAAATCCAATTCTAATGTATTAGGCTTGTCAAATCAAACAAAATAAGCCCAAACTCAATGTATCGACTATTAGCCGTAGAAGAGTTCCACCTATCCACCTTCTGGCCTTACCATCAGATCAGGTCGATGCCGGTAACTATTTTTTCCACCCTTAGGCGTGGTATTTTTTTTGAATTTAATAGAGTACCTCCTCCTTTTTGAAGTCGGTTGAAAAACGAACCCATATACAATCACTTCGTTGTCCGTCTATCAAGACCATTTTTCTCAGAAATGCGTGGAGCTATCAAGTTGTAATTAATATCAAATACTGCGTCTGCAATCCGTTGGAGCTGTGAAAAGAAACTTTGAAAAAGTCAACGCAATCAAAAGATACGGATGCTTATGCTGCATATTTCACACTCGGAAAGGAAACAAAAGGGGTAGGCAGGTTACTCTCCGTTGACGTAGACCCATGAAATTTGGTCTTATAGCACAAGTTTCTAAACGAAAAACCCGAAAACTATCGTGTTCAAAGTCATAAAGGTAGCCTATGTAGGTAGAATGCCTATCTATACCTATCTACAGAGCGATGCGAGGATAAATCGATAATAGATACTAAAATAAAATAGGTCTATAGCTTCTGTTAGATACCTAGGTAGGGACCTACATTTGAATAATACTCTAATGGTAAAATAATTATTAAAATCATCTTAAAATAGTTTCAGTTTTAATTCATTACAAACAAACAAACAAAATACAAATAATAGAACACCTAATACGTTCCTGACTTGATTAACGTCCTTCACTATAGCGTTGAATGCTGATTTTGGCGTACATTTGGATAGCAACATATTCAATGAATGTTTAAAAAATATTACGTCTTTACAGATTTCTCAGAGATAAGATATTATCCCGCAGTAAGAAGTATCCTATATGTTGACCCGGATAACCAGCTAACATCATATCAAATTTCATCAAAACTTGTCCAATGGTTTTCTCGTGATGCGTTCCCAGACAGACAGACAGATAGACAAAAATTCTAAACCTTATAGATTTGGCTTCCAAGATTTTCCAAAAAAATATTTTTATGTACAAATTCGACTCAGTTCGAATTTTATTATATGTACAGCAATTAAAAGATATTATAATATAAATAAAAAGTATTAACAAAACTACTCATAAAAGTACCTACTTAAGTGAAAAACGTGGTAAATATCCCGTTTTAATAATAACGAAAATAAAATTTGAAAGCAATGAGCCTCGGATTTTTAAGCAAAAATTAAACGAAAAGGCAATAAATATTTAATTGAAATTCCTTAAAGTTACCATTATTTGAATAATATTTATATAAATAAGTACAATTAAAATAAAAAAATTAAAAAAAACTTTTTGCTGCTCGAAGATACGGTTTTTGGTCTTATTTGAGAGTTGATTTTGTTGAATTTTTTTCCGGTTAGACAAAATTGCAATAATTATAATATAGTACACATAATATGTAATTTACCTTGTGTGTTATCTTCTCCTCCATCACTCTCCATCTCACTGCCAACACTAACTGGACTTTCTCTTTTTTTTTCGCTATTCGTCTGTACTGGAGGCTGTCCGAACATCCTCAAAAATGGTTCAGGATAACCCAATAAGAATGGAAAATTGTTTTGTTGTAAGAATGGCGTGTTCAAATAATATCTCATTCGATTCAACCCATCCACTCTCTCATTCTCTTCATCTTCTGAATTTCTATTATCTGTATTGCTATTTTCAATATCGATTTCTGGCGACTTCCTATCACCGATCAGAGATTCTATCGAAAACGGCTTAGGCGCCTTCTTTTTAATCTGCGATTCTAGTTCCGACATTGCACTGTTCTCATTAAAAATGTATAAAATGTAGTTTTCTTTTTTTCACAGTTCACAACACTCGCGTTTTATTATTTTTTGCTTAGTACTTTTGTTGTACGTCCGTCCTGTGCGGACTGTTGTGATGTACTACGGCCGTGACACGCCCACATACGGGGTGTAGACATGGCGTAATTTTATATTATTAATGGTTTTGCTGAGCGAAAATAAGCTTTATTACTTGAGTCGTAACACCATCATTAATAAAATGTCCAATTTCTAAACATCTTAAGTATATATTGCTAAAGAATTTTGTACTTTATGTCATTTAAATAAATATCATTATACTGTGAACTTTACATTAGTATAGTTATTATTTCATAAATGATAAAAAATAGCTCTTATTTTAATGAGTTAAAGTTCAAAATCAGTTGATAAAGTTTGACAACTTATGATGTTATAAAGCTAAATTATCAGTGATTGAGAACTGTTGACTTTATCGTTGAAACGAGATACATATATGAGTTTTATATATGTTAGAAAGGGACGCATATATTGATATTTGTGACCGCTGAGTACACGAGTAATTGGTGCTCAGTTGGCAAAGTCAGCACTTTGAATAAGTTCATCGCCTTGTGCCTCATTTAGTTATTTCTGTAAGTATTTTCTTTACTTTTTTTTTTAATTAGGTATGAATGACAAATGAGGTTTTTAAGAAAGTAGGTCAGATTACTGATTAAAAGATATGTTATCTTTTTAAGTATTCAGATATTTATACCTATATAAAAATCAGATTTTTCACATGCTAATTCAATATTTCTATTTATTTTCATTGATTGCTATGTAATTTTACTTTTTTCTATAAAACAGCCTCTTGAACCTGCCCTTTCAGGCGACATGCCCTTCCTCTACATACAAACAATCAGACTACATACATCTAAAAGAACTGAATAAGCAAGCTTTTTAGCAATTCTACAGTACCTAATCTTTAGTATCAATTAGGTAGGTATGTACATTGTCAAAAATAAACGTCTTACTAGTAGGTAGATAGTAAAGAGTCTCACTGTCCATCTAATGGCTCCATCATCTAACATCAACATCTAGATGATATGTATGTAGGTATCAAATTATTACAAAATCGTCTCAGAAATTTGCAAATATATTCATTAAATACTTAACCTGTAACTAAACAAAAACAAATCTATCCCTCGGGAATCGTATATTTTCCGGGATAAAAACTAGCCTATGTATTATTCCAGACTATAATCTATGTCTGTGCCAAATTTCATCCAGATCCGTTCAGCCGTTCTGGCGTGAAAGAATAACAAACATTCGCGTATATCTAAGAAAGTATTATGGGATAAAATCTTCTTCCTTTATTAGTCAGTCAGTTAAAAGTGAAACTAATAAAAGCGTGTAGATTCATGACAAACAAACAAACAAACAAACAAACAAACAAACAAACAAACAAACAAACAAACAAACAAACAAACAAACAAACAAACAAACAAACATGTTTTCTCATAAAAAATTACAAACATCAAAAAGGAAATGTTAAGTAGGTAAGTACACTCGCCCGTCCAAACTTCACCATAATCATTAGACAGCAATTTACCCCCTAACACCCCACCAAATTGATTGTGGCCATCCCTCACGTTAGAGGGTCGTTAGATAAAATCTTATAATGTTAGGCTTAATAACTTTTTCTATATAAAAGGCTTTTTTTATTTATATACTTATAACTAACTAGCATTGCCCTTGGCTTCGCCCGCGTTCAGATGACCACAAACCAAATTCTTAGGTTTTACATTTTAGTATATTCTTACTTTGCAGTTTTGTATTTTTTCTCTGAAATGAGATATTTTCTCGCGGTAAAAAGTTTCCTATATGTTGACCCGGATAGCCAGCTATCACCATACCAAATTTCATCAAAATCCCTTCAGTGGTTTTTTTGTGATGCGGTAACAGACAGATAGACAGACAGCCAATAATTCTAAAAACAATAGATTTGGCCTCTGTATCGATAATAATGTCTATATCAATAAGATTTTCTAAAAAATATTTAATGTACAGATTCGGCTTAGTTACAATTTTATTATATGTACAGATGTAGGTAAGTAAGAGAACAGGTATAGTGCAATACTTACTAAACAGAAGAGGTAGATACATACATACTTGTTATCTGTTTTTTTCTTGTGTGTGTGTAGTTAATAAAGGTATGTTACATGGTAACATCGCTGATCGTGTAATTTTAAGTCCTTCGCTATTCCTGATAAGTATTCAGCCCTTTTTACCGCTCCACTCCTGGGCACGGGCCTCCTCGCGAAGGGGACCAGGCCATAGTCCACCACGCTGGGCAAGTGCGGACGGACTGAGCATGTCTTTCGAAAACTTGCTAGTTTCTCTCAAACGTACAGGTTTCCTCACAATGTTTTTTTTCCACCGTAAGGCGAGGTAATCATGTCAAATGCGAAGTCAAATTTAAACTTGCTTCGTTTGGTTTTCAATCGTTATGAATATCTATCAAAACCTATAATAATTTACGAAGAACATGTCATAACAGACAATCTTCTAGATTAGGCTAGCGTGGTAGACTACGGGCTGATCTACATCACATTGAAAGGAGACCCAGAAGTAGGATGTTAAAAGGGGCTGAATAAATCTTAAAATTATCTTAGGACTTAGGTTAAAACCTATAACATGCTTATTTTAGTAGCAAATATCGAAAATATTCTTTGCGAATGTCTTCTACTAGCATTCACTTAGTAACTCTAAGATTTTTAATGCCCGACGCAAAAAAAGGAGTTATAAGTTTAACGTGTACCTGTGTGTCTGCCTACGGCATCGTAGCGCACAAACGGATGAACTGATTTTAATTTAGTTTGCTTTGTTATAAAGGTGACTTGATCGAGATTGCTCTTAGCTGTAAATCAAGAAAATATATTCACCCGTTTGTATGCAGGCTCAGCTCTTTTCCAGACGGTGATAATATTTGAGCAACTTCCACAGATCTAAACGATCCGAAACTTGGTATTCTGTTACTTCAATGACATTGCAATGATATGATAACCTTGGCCTGATGCTGCAGCGTCACCTGGAACCTGCAAAATACTTAAGTCCTCACTAAAATACCTACAGTAGAGATATCATGTTGAAATGGCCTTATTTTACCTATAGGTTATTGTGTTGGGGGTGATTTTTAAGTTTTTAATTTTTCTTGCAAGCTTCGATAGACAAATTCATTGTTATTCAAAGTTAAACTAAGGAGAAAATTTATGTCGATATCTAAGACATTTATCGCGATATCTTAACACATCGTATATCTTAAGTGTACTTTAAAGAGACAGGTGCCTTTCCCTGTCAGACGCGTGCCAATCACAGGCGTGCTAGGAGTTTAGAAACCTTAATCTAATTTCTATCTCTATATTTAAAAATCCACTGTGCGTATGTTCGTAATTATTGTCCTCCTAAACGCTTGCCCAATTTTGATGATGTTTTTGTGTACTTACATAGACACTAGGATAATTCTATTTAATACTTTCTTAGATTTACGCGAATATTTGACATTTTAAATAAAACTATCTTATCGAATTTTTTCGCGGATTTATTTTGATTTTTGGTTTCCGACGTTTTGAATGCTTTACAACAATCATGGTCACGGGAGAGACAAAGATGTTAGATGTCTCTAAGGTATTATATAGTTGTTACAGACAGCCTACCCACAAATAACAAAATAAATTCAAAAAATTGAAAAATGGCACCAAAGTACCTTACAATATTTTTTAATTCTAAACATTTTTATAATTTTAAATTAGTTTAATAATTGAATATTGAATAATAATGGAATAATAATAACCATGCTCGCTCGGTCCATTCTGCTATCAGAGAGTACCAGGAACATCCCGGGTACCTACACCGCTCACCGAAGTAGGCCACCTCCCTGTGAGTCTCTTGGCTTCACGCCCGGCTGAACTGCCGGACGCTTATGAGCACCTCCACCACGACAAGGTGTACACATCGAAAGGAATACAACTTGGACCTGCCAGAAGATTTTTTCGCAGATTTATTTCGATTTTTGGTTTAAGACTATACATATATTGATTGACCTTAGAGATGTCTAAAACCGTAGCCTTTCCCGTGACCATGCTTGCTGTAAAGCATTCGAAAAGTCACGAATAAAGAATTCAAAAAAGATCCGCGAAAAAATCTGAAAATATAAATATGTTGGGACATTAACACACAGCACCATCTAGTTCCATGGTAAGCTACGAGGCTTGTGTTATGGATACCAGATAGTTGATACACTACACGTATATAACTTTAAATACATACATATTATAAATATAAACACCCATGACTGGAGTACAAACATCGTGCTCATCACAAATGAATGCCCCCAGCGGGACACGAACCCGCAACCGCTGGCACAGCAAGTAGGATCACTACAAACTGGTCCAAATGTGTCTTTTTATAAGATTACCGATCAAAAATCAAAATAAAGTTTCTTGAAGCTAATTTATCATATAAAGGCTATTAGCGCGATAATGATCTATTGTTCTTATTTTGTATCCAAATAACAATGCGAAGGATAAATCTAATTTGAGAGGCTAATTTGGTCCTGAGAAACCGCGACGAGACCGGACTGGCAAAAGGCTAGACAGACGGTTAGGTATAATCTAGCTTTACTCTGATTTATTTATACTTATCGAAATCCATATTATTATTATAAATGTGAAAGTGTGTTTGTTTGGTTGTTTGTTTGTTTGTCTGTCTGTCTCTCTTTCACGTCGAAACGGTGTGACGTTCGGCGTGATTTTTTGTGTGGAGATAGTTGGAGGGCTGGAGAGTGACATAGGCTACTTTTTACCGCGGGAGAATATCTAATTCCCACGGGAAAACAAGTTGTTATAATACAACTCAAAAAAATATTTATGATGTATGTACAGATGAATGTACAGATTCGACTCAGTTACAAATTTATTAGGTATATATATATATATATATATATATATATATATATA